TTTTTTCTCGTTTTTTCTTTTCTTTCATCTCTCATCATTTTCTTTTTGTCTTTCATTTCCCTTCACTGTTTTTTCTTTGCTTTCGTCTCTCATCCCTTATTTTCTTTCTCGCTTTTCATCTTCCTTCCAATTCTTATTCTATTTCTAGCATTCGTCACCCCTTTATGTTTTTCTTTCATCTCTCAGTCTTCTTTTCCTTTTTTTTCTCTTTTTTTCTCTCTCTCTCGTTCCTCCCTTGCCTCGGGATCAATGCCTTTGCTGTTCCTTTTGCTGTTCCCCCTTTGTTCTCTCTCCACCTCTCCCATTCCGTCGCCCCCTCGGTCGTTGCTGTCACTCGCCTGGTTTGACGGCGATGGTTTCTCGTCTCGCCTCTCGCTTCGTCCCTGCTTCCCGCTTTCCCCTTCGCTTCCATGCTGCTTCTCCCCCTCTCCTTCTCTTTCTCTCTCTCCCTCTTTCCCTCTCCTTGTACATTTCCCCTTCCCTTTCCCTGCCTTATTCCTTTTTTTCTCTCTCTCTGCATACGCTGTGTATAATTGTATGTAGGATTTCACTCTCTCTCTACTTCTCTTCTCTCTCTCTCTCTCTCTCTCTCTCTCTCTCTCTCTCTCTCTCTCTCTCTCTCTCTCTCTCTCTCTCTCTCTCTCTCTCTCTCTTCTCTCTCACTCACTCATATACATATTTACATAAATGTATCTGTGTGTATACATGTCTGTGCACGTTTTCCCTCACTCTTCACCGTTTGATTTTCTTGTTGTTTGCTGCGTCCCCTCTCTTTGTGACCCTTTTTTTGCCTTCTCTTACGAGCCCTCTCTCTCGCTCTCTCTTGTCTCCCTCATCTTTTCCGCGATTTATCTCGTTTCCTTTACACTCCAGTCTTTCATCTTTAACGATGTCGCTTTTCTCGACTTGTTATGTATATATAATATATATATATATATAATATATATATTATATATATATATATATATATATATATATATATAAGTGTGTTTGTGTGTGTGTGTGTATGTGTGTACGTACATTCATATATATAATATTATATATATATATATATATAAATATATATATATATATAATATAAATATATATATATATATATATAATATATTACATATATAAACACGCACACATGTATGTGTATATGTATGGACATATACACATATACATATATATATAGATATAAATATAGATATATCTGTGTGTTTATGCGAATGTGTATGTGTATATGTATGTATATATA